CAGTGGCCCACAAATCCAAAAAAATCGAATATTTTATGAATTTTTACTATTAAATTTTAATTTTTTTTTATATATATGTGCAAATGTAATGATGATCATCTCCGACATGTCGGCTGACTGTTAACAATTCTTCTCATTCATTAATAACAGTATCAAAATCGGCCTCTGAAGTAATTTCCTCCTTCATACTATTATCAATAACATTTTCAGATTCTTGTTCTTGGTTATACAATAAAAAAGAAACAATTGGTGTAGTTGCAGTTGGTGTAGAAGCAGTTGGTGTAAAAGCAATTGGTGTAGAAGCAGTTGGTGTAGAAGCAGTTGGTGTAAAAGCAGTTGAGGTAGAGGCAGTCGGGATAGAGACAGTTGAGATAGGGACAGTTGAGATAGAAGCAAGTGAAGTAGAAGTATTAAGTAGAAGAAGAGTTGTTTGGTTGAATATAGCTTGAATCAACTTTTTTTTTATGAGCATGTAAAATTTCTGCGTGAAGTTAACTCATTGCAACTACTTTTTTATTCTATAAAAAAAAAAAATTAATATAATTTATAATTTTAAAACAAAAATTGCCTTTAGTTTATTTCGCAATGGTGAATGCAAAAAACCCATAGTAGAGAAAAGCCTTTCTACTGATGCAGTTGTAATATATATACCAAATAGTTGGCATGCAATACGACTCAACTTTGGTGTGGCACCTGAACTATGTGACTATCAAAAAATAATGTCTCTTTTAAATTGGTTAAAGGTTTTTTTACTAAAAGAGTATTTTTGTTGTTTGTAAAGTTCAAGCTCACAAAGAAAACAGTCTGGATCAGTATTAAACCAGGCTTTGTAATAACATGATAACCACACTCCCATGTGTGTAAAATTAATATATAGTTAAGTTTGATTAAAATAGGTTAACCAATATAAAGGATGAAGAATAAACGAAAGAATAAGTAATAGTTGTTCCTAAGTGGCCCACCTTCTTTTAAGTCTTGCGATCATTTTTGTTCGAAATTAAGATATCTCAAGTTCTTTAAATATTTGCATAAAAAAGCCAAAGCATGTAAAACATTATAAAGACGGGCCTTATCATGTTGTATAAGATCAAGTGCACCACAAAAAGGATGAAGTATATTATGCAATATAATAAGAGACTCCCAAAAAGAATCTCTATTAATAATAACTTTAATATCAACTGGAAGCTTCAAATCATTATTCGAGGCTGCATCATCTTTGGTGACAAGAGTCTAAAAAAAAAAAGGTACTGTATATATACTGTATATACAATATATATAATTTTAAAATTAAAATACTTTAACTTACTTTTAATGGATGCTTGTTTTTAAGAACGCTATCAAAGCATTCAAAATAACTGTTTCACCTTGTTATACTTGGTGTAACAAAATTAATATATTTTTTTAAAACACTCATTTGCTCATCACGCAGCTTAGCAGTAAAATATATGAAATGATGAAAAAAAGCAACTATACGAAGTGCACATTTACTGGTATTTTTGAATACTAATGATTCTTTGAATATGTCTCCAACACAACAATTTGCTTGGTGCGTGAAGCAGGGAATAAAAACCTTATCACACATTTCACATCTTAAAAAATGATAAGCTGCTGCATATGATCCAGCTAAATCTGTTACAAGATAGTTTACTCTTATACTTAACTCCTTTGCCTCATCAAAAAGTGCACAAATTCTAGAAATTACTTCTTCTTGTTATTGTCTTTCAATACTAATATCCTCTGCTCTCCAAATTAAAGTTTCTTCAGAAAATGTAACAAATACTATACCCATTAATTCTTGATTCACAACATTATGCCAACTATCAAAGGCAATTGTAATTTCGATTTTGTCTTTACAGGCAAGTTCTTTTATTGTCATTTGAACTTCATTAGTTGCTTTAGTTAAAATACGATTACTAAGTGACTTTCGGTTAGGTAATTTTAAATGTGGAGAAATAAAATGAAATAACTCTCTAATCTCTGGGTTTTCTACCCATCAAAATACGAATTCAGCTAAAACTGTAGCACAAAGTACAAGGCGTTCAAATTTGTGAACTTCAGAGGTATTAATTGGACGGCCAAGATATTGGGACAATGTTGTTTGTTTTTTTGAAGGAAAGGTAAAATCATTTTTATCATCGTTATTATTATCAGTATAAGATTGTTTTTTTGATAATGATATAGCCGAATTAATAATATTATATATTTCTTCTAATAAATACTTTTAAGCAAAATAAGGACAGCCTTTGAGATGGTTGGCATAATACCATTTAGTATTTGTGATTTTCATAATTTCATCTTGCAAAGCAAAGTCTTTTCCAACTGCATTCATGCAGGCATGACAAATACATTTATGATTACTTTTATTTGCTCATTTATTAGGGATAATATAGAAATATTCACTAAGTGAATGTGGTCGCTTTCCTTTCTTGTGCTGCATACTTTGCATAATGATGAAAGTTTAAATGAAAATTAACAAAGGTAATGAAACTAATAAGAATTGTTATATATATAGTATCATGGGTTAATAGTTAGTATTATAGACAAGAAATATTTCACTGTGTTACTAAATTCAAAAAAGTTTATCTAACCTAATATATATGGTTTATTTTAGTAAAAATGCAAGACGTAATAAGCAAGAACAACAATTCGTAAGAAGAAATTCTAAATTACTAATAACTGATTTCAATTTTTATTTTCATACTTTTATATTTTTTTTTAACTTTATCTGATAACTTTTATTTTATCTAATTTTACATCTTGGAATATAAGAAGATTCATAATCATTGGGCTTGGCAATGGGAGTATTTCCTTTTTTTTTATACTTTAATTTGTTTAATGCTAATTTTTTTTTTTTTTTTTATGAATTCAAAGTTGTATCTGAATTTTCATGCTTACTTGCACAGCCTCACTTGTTTTAGTTTGTTTTTTTTTCATTCGTTATTACATACATGACTATGATTTAATTACTTGACATTTTGAGTTAGTGAATCCGGACCACTTCAGTGATATAATGTAGATTCAATCTTAATAAATTGTTAGTATAATAGTTTTTCTCGACTTTATAAATAAAATTTTTGTTGGGTATCAAAATTATTTTTAGAGAAAATTTAACAAGCTAGATCCAGTGCTAAAATGACATATAGATAGTAGTTTTTGCTGAGCGGTTTTAAAGGTTTGATGGGATCAAAAGGAGGAAGATTAGTTGTGATGGTGCAGGAGTGGCAAAGTAAAATTTAAAAGTATGACCCTATTATTTAATTATTAATATGCAATTCACATAAATTGCTTTTTTTTCATAGATAAACTTTAAAGGCTAAACTTATTAATTACTTTTATAGTATAACAATTAATAGGATTGAATAAATAAGATTCAAGTATATAAACATGAAAATCGAAAGTAACTAACCTTTTTTGTTATATCAATTGAGTTTGCATAATCAAAGATAAAATGAATTAGCTGCCAATAAAAAAATTTGCAAAATAAATTTATTGTACTATATACGTTAATTGAATGATTGTTATACAAAATCATAGGTGAATAGTTAAATATATATGCTAAGGGATTTTAAAAATCAGTATTTAAACAATTGGACATTGGAAAACTGTCCGAATTGTTCTATACAAAATTAATGGACATTGTCCTATACCAACTAAAGCTGCGCCTCATAGAACATTGGACATTGTATAGGACAAATTGGAAATGTCCAATATCTAGTAAAAATTCACCAAATATATAGCCTGCCCAACCCTGGCTAGTTTTATCTAATAGACTGATTAGATTCTTTATTGATTTTATTGAGAAAGGTACTTGAGAATACTCTAAATTATATATAGTAATTTATTATTACTCAAAATATTTACTTTAATATAGAACTTTAATTAATTTAGCACTAGAGTTAATAAGACAAAACTTTAGTTGTTTTATTTGAAAATTAGAATTAGATATGTTAAGTAAGAGTCAACACATTATAAATAAGGTTAAGTTTATATAATATATAGCTTATCTTCTAGCAAGATTCTTTTGCTAGGATTTGATTAGATAAAATAGAAGTTCACAAGCCAAGGATCTGTGAATATATATAGGTGTTGGTTTTTTTTTTTGAATTTAGAATGTGTACTTTAGTCATTTCATTTAAAAATTAAAATTAGATATATTAAGTAAAAAATAATATATTATAGATAAGATTAAGTTCGTATAATATATGGCTTGTCTTCTAGCAAAGTTTTTTTGCTAGAATTTGATTAGATAAAATAGAAGTTCACAGGCTGAAGGTTTGCAAACATATATAGGTGTTGATTTTTTTTTGAAATTTAAAACATGCACTTTAGTTGTTTTATTTGAAGATTAAAATTAAGCATATTAAATAAGAGATAATACATTATAGATAAGATTAAGTTTATACAATGTATAGCTTGTTTTTTAGCAAGATTTTTTTGATAGAATTTGATTAGATAAAATAGAAGTTCACAGGCCAAAGGTTTATGAATATATGTATAGGTGTTAATTTTTTTTTTGAATTTAGAACGTGCAAAACATATGTATGAAACTTGAGTTTTTTTTTAATATTCTCTTTTAATGTTTATGTTTAGAGTGAGCAACAGTATAGTTCTTTTTAATAGAGAAGAGCTTTAAGAAAATAATAATTTTTTTTTCTCTGGATCATATAAATTATATAGAACTTTACTGTGTATTTATATTAATTTAAATAAGTATTTTGAGATTATTATTAGTAATAGCATAGTTCATTTTATATTAAGGCTATATGTAAAATAATTAAGTTTTTTTTATTTAGATTGTATGTTGCTATATAAAATTTAAATTCCAAATACTTTTAAAAAATTAGGATGAGTACTAATATAGCTTATTTTTTCAATGTTAATATTAAGACAAGCTATTGAAAAATAAGTTTAACAAAATAAATTTATTATTAAATATGATATAGTTAGATTATACAAGGCTATATCAAATTTACCTTCTCTAAGCACTCTCATTTGCAGGCTAGAATTAGAGTAAGTTTCTTATTTTATGTTAGAATTAGGCTTTAAGAATTAAGTGGTGGTACTGTTTACTTTGCAAATAATTACTTTATAGAAATCTTATTTCATTAAGTTTACTTTTACAGATTTTTTAGTAAAATAAACTATTTATGAAGCAAACATATCTACAAATTAATTGTCTGTAAAGTAATCTTGTCTGAATTAATTGTCGGTAAAATATAGATCTGAGTTAAAAAAATTATATATTTAACTTTTTTTTAATATATATTTTATACATTTATTGAGTGTAGATTTTGCAAGACTGTATAGAATTTGATTTATCCAAATATTCATTTTTAAAGATTGGAATTAGAGTAAGTATTCATATACTTTATTTTTGTTACAGAATTTTGGGTATAAATAATTTAATTTTTTTTAATTTAGGTCATGCAAGGTTGTATTAAACTTAACTTTTTTAGATATTTCTTTTAGAAATTTAAAATTAGCATTGTTACTTGTGTGCTTTAAATATTAAAATATTAGTTTTTTGTATTTACCAGTAGTAAAATTGATAAATACTCTAGTTAATTAGGGTGTAATATTTAATAGTGATATATAATTATTTTATTTTATATATATAATATATTTTCTAACAAATAAAAAATTAGTAATATTTAAACTATTATCACATATGTGACAAATAACTTAGTTCTTAATTAT